ATGACTCATTCAGGAAGAACCTAGAAAGTGCATTACGATTCGGTAATCCTTTATTAGTTCAAGATGTCGAAAATTATGATCCAATATTAAATCCTGTTCTAAATAGAGAATTAAGAAGAACAGGTGGGCGTGTATTAATCACACTTGGCGATCAAGATATTGATCTTTCCCCATCTTTTGTAATCTTTTTATCGACAAGAGATCCAACGGTAGAATTCCCACCAGATATTTGCTCTCGTGTTACTTTCGTAAATTTCACCGTTACTAGAAGTTCATTACAAAGTCAGTGTTTAAACCAAGTATTAAAAGCCGAACGTCCGGACATTGACGAGAAGAGATCTGATTTATTAAAGTTACAAGGTGAATTCCACTTGCGATTGAGGCAGCTTGAAAAATCTTTGCTACAGGCATTGAACGATGCCAAAGGAAAAATTCTTGATGACGATTCAGTGATAACTACTCTTGAAACTTTGAAACAGGAAGCGGCTGATATTAGTAAGAAGGTCGAAGAGACAGATAAAGTAATAGCAGAAATTGAAACAGTTTCTCAACAATACATGCCTTTATCTCAAGCTTGTTCAAATATGTATTTTACAATGGATAGCTTGAATCAAGTGCATTTCTTATATCAGTATTCTTTGAAAATGTTTTTAGATGTTTTCACGTCTGTTTTATCACAAAATCCAAGATTATCCAATATATCGGATCACACACAAAGACTATCAGTTATCACAAGCGACTTATTTTCAGCTTGTTATGAACGTGTTGCTCGTGGAATGTTGCATACGGATAGATTAACGTTTGCATTGTTATTATGTAAAATTCACTTGAAAGGCATCGCCACAGAATCCACCTACGACAGTGAATTTACATTTTTCTTACGCGGAAAAGAAGGTGTGTTGAATATACGAGAACCCATTATGCCCAATTTGAGTTCAGAACAACAAGAAGCTATGATGCGACTGAGTCTTAGACTGCCGGCTTTCAAAAAGTTGCGCGAAAAAATTCAAGAAAATGCGGAATTCAACACATGGTTACAATCACCAACTCCTGAAACATGTGTACCAAAACTTTGGGATGAAGAAAAGCCATTGACACCAACTGGAACATCTCTTCATCAGTTATTGATAATTCAAGCATTTCGACCGGATCGTGTGATAGCTGCTGCATCTTTAGTAGTAATTTCTGCTTTAGGAGAATCTTTCATGGCTGCTGCAGAATCAGAACTTGATTTTGCTTTTGTAGTTGAAAATGAATTAAAAGCTACTGTACCCGCTTTACTTTGTTCAGTACCAGGTTTCGACGCCTCTGGCCGAGTGGATGATTTAGCAGCTGAATCAGGCAAACAAATAGCCAGCATCGCAATTGGTTCTGCAGAAGGATTTAATCAAGCAGATAGAGCGATAAATATGGCTGTTAAGGCTGGTAGATGGGTACTATTGAAAAATGTCCATTTAGCACCACAATGGTTAGTACAACTTGAAAAAAAATTGCATAGCTTACAACCACATACTAGCTTTAGATTATTCTTAACTATGGAAATTAATCCGAAAGTACCAGTTAATCTACTTAGAGCTGGTAGGATATTTGTTTTTGAACCACCTCCCGGAATTAGAGCGAATCTCTTACGAACATTTAGTACGGTACCAGCATCAAGAATGATGAAAGTACCTAATGAAAGAGCTCGCCTTTACTTCTTATTAGCGTGGTTCCACGCTATCGTTCAAGAACGTCTTCGTTACGCACCGTTAGGATGGGCTAAACATTACGAATTTAATGAGAGTGACTTGAGGGTAGCTTGTGATACATTGGACACGTGGATAGAAGCTACCGCTATGGGTAGAACTAACTTACCACCGGAGAAAGTACCTTGGGATGCTTTAGTGACACTACTTTCTCAATGTATATATGGTGGTAAAATTGATAATGATTTCGACGAACGTCTTCTTGCGTCTTTCCTTCGCAAACTTTTTACACCGCGATCTTTTGAAGCCGATTTTGCACTAGTTGCTAACATTGACGGTTTGCAAGGAGGTCAACGACACATTACTATGCCCGATGGTACTAGACGCGATCATTTCCTTAAATGGATCGAGTCATTATCTGATAGACAAACACCTTCATGGCTTGGTTTGCCTAATAATGCAGAAAAAGTACTACTCACGACTACGGGTACAGACCTGGTGTCTAAGTTATTGAAAATGCAACAACTAGAAGATGAGGATGAACTAGCATATTCTAACGAAGAATCATTGAATACACCTAGAGAAGCGGAAGCTGATGGTCGACCGTCGTGGATGAGAACGTTACATAATTCGGCATCAACATGGTTACAATTGCTTCCAAAGAATTTACCAACACTGAAAAGAACAGTAGAAAATATAAAAGATCCTCTCTATAGATACTTTGAAAGAGAAGTTAACAGTGGTGCTAAATTACTACAAGATGTGATCCATGACTTAGAAGATGTTGTTTTAATTTGTCAGGTAATTTTTTTAATTCAATTACTACAGCTAAAAAATAACCTTCCTCTGAAATTTAATATCTTATTTGAAATGAGTATTGCTGTATTCAATTGATGATGAAATGAAATGAACGTTTAGAATTGTTTATTAAATGTTTTCTTTGTAGGGTAAAAAGAAGCAAACTAATTATCATAGAACTATGTTGTCAGAATTAGTAAAAGGTATTCTACCAGGTGGTTGGAGACGATACACAGTACCAAGAGGCTGTACTGTTATACAGTGGATAACAGATTTTAGTCACAGAGTATCACAGTTACAAGAAGTTTCACGACTAGTGTCTCAAGGAGGAGCTAAGGAAATTAAGGTTTGTCTGTTCAATCATTTTTAAATGATCAATTGTTCAGTTATATTATAATAATGTTTTTTTTTTTTTTTTTTTTTTTCTTTTAGAGTTTTCCTGTTTGGCTTGGTGGATTGTTAAATCCTGAAGCATATATTACGGCAACAAGACAATGCATAGCACAAGCAAATAGTTGGTCACTAGAGGAACTTCAGCTAGATGTAACAATAGGAGATGGTGACAATATTGCAACAGACGATTGTTCGTTTGCTGTAACCGGACTTAAATTGCAAGGGGCACAATGTAAAGATAATCAGCTGTATTTAACCTCAACCATTATGACCGATTTACCAGTTACCATGTTGAGGTGGATACGATCTACCACCGATGATGTACGGAAGGGCAAACTGTCTTTACCGGTTTATCTTAACAGTACACGTACTGAATTATTATTTACCGTTGATTTAAACATTGCTCCTAGTCAAGATCCTCATAGTTTTTACGAGAGAGGAGTTGCCGTTCTTACATCTACAGCTTTGAATTAATACTTTTAAAATGAGCAAATTGCGATATCTAACAGATAGTATAACGATAAAGTTATACAAAAATGGGCAAATGAGCTTCTCAGAATTGAAGTAGTAAAGAGTCTCAGCATATATTGTATTGTTTCTTAAACATGCTTATTAATCTATTTATCTTTACTCATTTACAAAACAAGGGAAATATGAATTTTAATTAGCTGGTATAGTATTCTGACAATACTCACACGATGGTCATTAATAAAAAAAGTTTGCCCATTTCTCTCAATGTACTAACTGAATATATAGTGAAAAATATTATTTATCGCTTTCAAAAATTTTTTAAGCACAACATTTTATAAACGTGTATTGAAACGAAACATTTTACTTGATAATTAATATAATTGAAAAAGATGTAAGACATCTATTTTCGAGTCGATGTTTCAATAACGAGATTGTAATATACATAGTTTATTTAGTTTTTTATACGTTTAAAACTGAATGGCCGCTTTCTGTAAGTTACGTAGTGTTTGCTTAAATGTAAGTACTAAAGTATTGTAGAATTTATATTACTTGAATGGTATCTAATAAAAAAACTTAATGTGCAGTTTACACGTGTTATTAAAGAGTAAAATGAATACCGTTAAAATGCTTTGTACTTTGTTGCTTTGATCAAATATATTAATATCTATTTGTGTAATTATACGATATTGAATATAATATCAATATTTAAAGTATGAACGTTGTTTAAATCTTACCATGATTAAATTAAATGTCATAGAAGCACTATAAATTTAAAAAAGAACATAAAAACTTTATTATGGTCCATAATATCAGGTATAGCAGTTACACGTATGAAATGTTAAAATAATTGCGTGGTACTACATATATACTACATGATTATATAATTAACATTGTAGTTTTATGCTCTTCCTTTCTATTCGGACTTAGTTCAACGATCATTCATATATATATACACACACACATGTATGTATTATGTGCCTATCTGACAAGTAATTCTGATTGCAATGTAAGTTTCTCTTTCGTATTCTTTGCAATGATAAATAAAAAAATGCGCCATATATACTTCGATTATTGCCCAAAAACTATGCACAGGCTTGATGATTGTTGGACGGACTATATAATTATAACACTAAACAGCCATTATGGTTAATGAAGAAAATGCTTAATAAGCTTTGTCTTAACATGATTTGTTAAAATACTATGTACACTAAGTCATAAAGGTACTAAAAGATTACAGCAGTATATATTACATACACATATTAGTTGCACAGTCTCGATTGAAAATACCAATATTCTAAAATAGGCTGGTTCAAAATAAATTGAACATTAACGAATTTTGATACATATGATATATAATCGAAGTCTATCGTAACAAGTTTAAAAACAGATTTGTCAAATGTTTTACTTTTTATTGCTATTTGATTTCTTTCTGAGCGTTATATAATTGTCACGGTAAATAAAATGATTATGCAATTATTTGTCTACTGTGACAAGATAAAAAATACTGAATTCAGTCTAAAAGATAAAATTAATTTTTTAATCCTTGATTAATGATAACATTGACAACTTGCCCATTCTTTGTAGTCTGCTTCGCAAAGATGAATATCAATACGAATTATATGAGAAATAAATCATCATAGTACTATATAGCAGAAATTAAATTATTCTCGGATTATTCTTCGTAAAAACGCAAAAGAAGGACATAGTCTATATCACAGAAACGGAGTCATCCGTTTCTTCGGCAGTCTTTTTATCGTCGCTTTTATCCTTAGCCTGTTCATTGGAGACTAGAGATACGTCCTTCGGAAGGACCAAAGATTCTTCACCGATCGGCGCCGCAGCCTCGACTAGATTCTCAACGGACGCCGCTACTGTCGACTCATCGTGACAAAAACTTCTACGTAGGGACTGTTGAGTCCGCGTAGTTCCTCTTCTAATGCTACTACGAAGTAAATTTGCAACATCGACTGCAGTTAAATTCGAACTGCTCGATGAAGTCATACACGGTCGACGAGGTCTTTCGAGTGTTGAATGTGTTCTTTCTACCGAGCATTCTACTGCACCAATTCTCGTTGTTCTATCGATTGTATTAGGTCTATGTCTTTCTGCGGCACTATTTCGAGAATTCGAGCTATTGTTGTCATTTCTTGCTTCGGTTATATGAATCGTTACATCCTGCGTCTGTCTACTCTGATTCATTTCTACAAGTACAGTGGCATAATCTGGAGGTGGAGGTTGTAACGCTGGTCTCTGCCTTGGAGTGCTAGTTTCACCAAGCACATTAGCTATTCGCCGTACGCTCCTTCGAAAACTTTGCCGTAACATTTTTGCTATTCTCGCTCCTGTTGCAGTAGTGTAACTTGGAGGAGGTGTATATTTTGGCGGTGGATCCTCAAATGGTACTTCTGTCGTTGTATGTACAATACCATTGCCATGAATACTAGTACTTATATCGCCTCCAATATGTGTTTGTGCATCTCGTGGATCATCTGGTTCCAAAGATGGCCGATACAATAATTGAATTCTCTGTGAAATTAAGATCTTTTTATAATAATCTCTTTATAAAATATATATATTATTTGCAGAGAAGGAAAGAACGAATAATTTCTATTTTATTTAGGAAAATAATGAATGTTAGATATATAATGGTTAGAAAGGAAAACTTACACCATTACATTGTTCGCAGTGATTTACATTAACTTCCACTTGATTATTCTAATGTTAGCATAAATAAAAATTTATGTTAAATAAGTATTAATATATCGAAGTAGAAAATAAGAGATAGAATCAAATCTGTTAAATATAAATATCAAAAACTGTTACTAGTTTATTAAAACTCAATTAAACTCTTACATCAAATATATCAGGTGGACCGTTGTTTAAGTATCGACAAGTTTGTATAATAGCTACTGCTGGTATCGTCAATATCGGTACTAACTGAATAGTAGCTCCAAGTTGTTTTTCCCAAATAGTCCAATACTCTCTAGCTATACTGCGATAGGAATAAAGTTCTCGAAATCCAGCATTCTTAAATACCGTAATACTAAGTACCTGTTTATTTTAAATCAATAAATCGATTGTATATATATATTATGATTCTGGATGTATAAACATTTTGATAAAAACATACCATGAGAATAACGGGTAATACAACATTCCATGTGAATGATAAAAGAGGACCAGCCCAGTGTCTAAGACATCGACCAGTTGGAGGAAACAATTCAGCAACCACCGCTTCACCACTATGTGGTCGTCCTCGTACTGCAAATACGGCACCGACTTGCACCAAGTATAAAATCATTATCCACCAAGTACCACCGATTGTGTAGTCTAGATAATACACAACGTGTATGCCCAACTATAAACAAACGATTAAATTTCCATAAAATAAACATCATCCACCTTTATTTTTATTTAAAAATAACATTATACAATTTATAGATGTGTATTTACTTTAACATTTAGATTAATAATATGTTGTAATATATCGACTACTTATGACGTTAGCGATGACGTAGAAACGCTAGTTTTTATATCTTTCACTTGAATATCTAAAAATAACGCGTTGTCTCTAATATATCCAGAATATCGAGTTAAAGTACTATGTGGGATAAACATATAAATTCCAGTTTCTTTATTTACGTCGGAATTTGATTTATCTTGTCCTACAGCTTTAACGACTTTCTTTATATCGTTTATAGGATTTTCTTGATTTCTTAATGTAACTGTTGCTTTAAGTACACAAGGCCAATCTAATAGTGGATCCCATTTTCCGGTTTCAACTTGTAGACATCCGATAATGTGTCGCTCTTTCCATTGTCCTATACCATTTAGGAATAATTTCATTCTCAAAGTATATCCGTATTCTTTATTTAAAAATTTTGGACTATATAGTACACAATTATTTTTCTTTGCTTCGGTTAATTTTTCGTCGTAGCAATCAATTCTCCACAAAAGACGACCGTTAATTGAATATTGATCAAAATGTTCATTTTTACACTGACACTCAAGGAATTCCTGATTTTTAAATTCTGAATTTTCTCCAATCAGTTCCTCAAGATACTTCAAATTTTCTTTCATTTGAAACTTCAATCCTTTGATATTACTCTCTTGATTAGTTACAATTTGCGTTTGCTGTTGTACGTCTTCCTCTAAACTTTTCATTTTCTCCGTTATGTACGTCTGCTGATCTATTAATTCCTTTGAATTCTTACATCTCATTTCCAATTCTAATTTAAGATCGTGAAATGATTGCTGCTGCTCTTGCCATATATTATTTAGGTGTATGCTTTCTTTACTTAAAAAGGTCTTTAAATCGGTTAATTCTAAACACCAATTGCCAACTACTTCATCGTGTTTATTTTGTTCATTAGTTAATTCATCGTGAAAAATCTTCAGTTGCTCGGAGATCCGTTGGAAACTTAAATTGGTATGCTGTTTTATATTGTCGCAAGTTACTTCTACATCATTTAATCTTTGATTGAAATTTATATTATACTCGCGACATTCCTTTATTGTCTTTGTAACTTCAAAATGCAAAGTATCAATCGTTTCTTGTTGGGAGTTTAGTAATTTTATACATTGACACACATTATCTTGAAGAACTCTACGTTCTTTTTCTTCGTTCTTTATTACAGAACGAAGCAATGTTAAGGCAGAGAATACTTTATTCCTCCATAAAGAATCTTGTATTTCCTTTATCCGATTGTTCCCTTTGATAGTATTTCTGTTGCACGTTTTTCGATGATCTTCTATATTTTTTCGAGGTATATAAACTCCACATTTGAAAGGACATTCCTCTAAAACAGCTTCGCAATGTTTCACGTGATCGTACAAATATTTCTCTTCCAAAAAATCATTACAAAAGTAACATGGTACGCTTCGTCGTACTATAGTATTAACCCGATTACTCATTTTCTGGAACAAACTGTGGCTCTAGCGATACTAATGAAATGATTAATCAGGTTAGCACTTGGACTGATAATCGTTATCTGAATAAATAGAATATTACAGGGCTTGTCTGATAAGAAGAGTATTTTAAACCCTACACTTAAGCAGACCAAACACTTTATATATGATATATCGCCTTAAATGTTCGCTTAGCAACATCGATATTTAGATATTAATAGATATCATTTTAAATTAAGATAATCATTTCAAATATTCTATATACATACACTGTAAAGTCAAAAATCATTAGATAAATATTAATGATTATACTTACTTCCGTAGCCATTGGTAATCCTAGTATGTAAGCACAAGCGCAACTGAAGAATGTAATAGTAGTTTCCCACAACTTCATCATTTTTGCATTGATTGCCATTATGCCAGTTATCACACAATGCCATATTGCTAGCTATAATATTGAAAGTTATGTATCTTCGACTTTGCATTGCTGCGGATTTTGAATTGCATACCTGTTGAGCTATTCCAAATAGGATGAGAATAAAGTAGAAAAGAACTGCCCAGAATGGTGACACTTGTTCGGTGCCCAGCAACGCTAATGTTGCAGGAACTAATTCAGTCGAAAATCTCAAAGCTTGATAGCCAGATTCAACGCTAAAGTCCGCACCAGGACGAGTTACGCGTTCTCCAACAATAAACGACGCATGTGCCATAAATCTTTCTGGTGTACTACTATATCCCGGTGGTGCTGGCTGATTTACAGGTCTCATAAACATATATGACGATATTCTTTCTGAAACAAAAATACATTACGCTTAAACGTGACTTAAAGTGTCTAATTTAAGTTGATAGTACGTTCTTAATTTTAGCGCTACTAGGTTGCTCACCAAATGAACTAGGTATATAAATATATCCATGATGTCTGAGAACCTGCACACAGGTATTTGCCAAAAAAGCTGCGAGAAGCAGAACTGCAATAGTTAACACAATTACGAGACTCGTGTCTCGTTGTAACAGGTGTTTGTGCTTATTATGAGCAGCTATCTAAAAACGTGATAATATTCTGAAGTAAGTATTTCGTTTCCCAAATGTTTCTTTACCACACTGTATTAAAATTACCTGCATAGCGGCTGCACCAAGTAATCCCCAGGTAAGGAAAACCTCGATAGATGCTGCTACCCATGATTTGCCGTTAATAAAAAACTCAGTCCATACAGTGGCAGGAAAAAGTTGATGTATAGAACCTGGTGGTGTGAGACCAAGTAATTTCGTACAAAGTACCAAAGTACCAAATACAGGAACCAGCGTAAAAACATACACTACTTTGCCATAAGATCTTAAACCTGAAAAGTTATTAAATATTGGAACAAAGAAAAAGAAAAGTAAATATACTGCTTCGTAAAATAATTAAATACCTTTGCTTAATGATACGAATACAATCATCCATACAACAGCTAAGTTGAAAGCTACTTGAAACTTTAACGTTACAACACCAGGATCTGATTCATTTAAATGATGTCTTTGTAAAACAACTCCACTAAAATAATCCGGTACTGTTTCATACAATTTATGCAAATTGCTATTATTTTGTGTAGATTTATCCTCTCTGTACAAAGAAAACGGTTCTGCCCATCGGTACTTATCCTGCTTCGTTATAAACGAATCTCTACAAATGATTAAAAATATTATATTATTATCATATAATTTCTTCAAATAAAAAATTTATCAGAAGAAGCTTATTATAGAATTTATGATAATATTAGTGGAAAATAAATCAACACACCTAAAGTACACGAACATCCAGGATACGCCAACAATACTGTAAATACCGATAAATGCTTGTGCAATTAGAAGAGCTATACCAACACCCTGAAAGAGGGGTGAAATTTTCCACATATCCATGGATCCAGCCGCCAACCTTTGACCGAGACACACGTGCAACGTCAGAAGTGGAATACCCAATACCAAAGATAAAATCAGGAACTGTACAATGAAATTTGCTAGAAAGCAAACAGTCAGAGGTCGGAGAAAAATCAACAATTATTTATATATTGTAATTATTTTTATACTCACCTCCGAATTGTACACTAAGGATAGAAAATCTACTTATATTAAAGAGACCAAGGGTGCAACTAAGACACGCCAAGGCTGGACTAAGAGCATGTGGCCATTTTCCCAGTGGATTTGCATCCTCATCTTCGTCCTCCCCTCTATCCTCATCCCTATCGATATCTCTCTGTCTTTCACATATTCTAAACAGAAATAATGTTTCATTTAGAAAAGAAAGAACATGAACAATCAAGATATTATATTCATTTAAAACGTTTCTTTTATATACATGAAGCATCAAAAGAAAGTAATAGATCAATTAAAGAGTTATAGATATATTGCTTGAAAAGAACGAGATAATAAAACAGTTACGAAATATTATATAGATAGTAAGTAGAATATTAAATATGCCACCGCGTGACTAACGGCACCCGATAAGAATACGTAAAATAATTATGTTAAAGGTCATATCGATTTGTCGTAAAACTGGGTCGAATGTAATTGTATCGTATTTGTCGCTCTTACCAAAGAAAATTCACGGTCGATTGGAACCGCGTTGCGGCAAATGAGTATCTATATCAGGATTCAATCGTAAGACAACATCGAATATGAGATTTATTGCGGAATGCTTACGTTTTTGTACTATTACTCTTATAAGTTCATTCTAAGCTACAAAATTTGATTATGATGAAAATAATTTTCCATTATTAACTGTATACATGTATGTAAAATAATTGTAGAATAAATACGAAGTAGAGCGTAAGTTACGTGTAAATAAAGAAAGCAAGACGCGAGAAAACGGTAAATTATAATAAATAGGAGCTACGATTCTTCTGGACATCAACGTCGATAAAAGATCAAATATCAAGAATGTACCGTTATCATGAAATAGAGAGACCAATATTTTAAAAAACCATCTGTGGATCCATCTTAAAGACACAATCCGACCTTGCTTTACGTGAAGAATACGGAGAGTTGATATATCTCTGCCACCTTCGTGCTAACCGATCTCGCAGTTCTCTAATGTTTTAGACGATAATTCGTGAATTATTCATATGTAAATATATATATGTATGAATGCGAAGATTGTATCGATCATCGATAATGAATCCTTATTATCACGTTATTTCATCGATCGTTCGATCGAGACGAAAACCTCTTTCGATACCAACCAATTGTTCTCGATCGTTCCTGGGTTCATCTAAGACGAATATAACATGTTACAGTTTTTTCCTTAAGAGATAAAAGAACCCTATTTCCATTATCGTCGCGGATAGGTCGGAAAAGAATAGAATATGCTAAAACCGACTTTGAGTTAAAATAGTAAGTCGAATAGTAAGATTTACGTGGTTAGAACTACGAAAATTTGAAGGCCAATCGTGAATTCTTGAGTCTCTCGAAACTCTAAAGATAGAAACGGAATGTTTTATTGATTAATCGATAAACTGACCACTTCTAATGACCACGGTATATTCAGTGGGGTGCGCTAATAATACCGGAGATTAGAAACACGCAAATAGTAGATTCGGTGTGATAGGCATTGACGATTTTACGTTGTGTTAAACTAAACTCGCCACTAAAATACGAAAAGGTGTACAAAATTGTAATTCTTCGACTACAACAATTCAACCAATATTGTTTCTCATGTTAAACACGTGTGCTTTTAATGAATCTTACAAAGAGTATATGTAGTTACATTCGGGTGTACGTTGCAATGTGAATTGCAATTATTATTGTGGGAACGTAGGAGAACTTGAGCTCCAACTAAACTTTCAGTGTAATACCCACACTAACAGTGTATATCATGCTACAGATATCCATAATAAAACTCTCAGACAAAAAGAATTAGGGGAAAACTATTAGCTTCGACAAATAAATACGTAAGATACTATACTATTATATATTTAGAAATGATCGGTAATTCATTAATGACAAGCTTGATTCAAGTTTGGTACTATTATTCGATTCTTTTTTTTCTTAAACCATCTTTTGTTCCTTCATACCATATAAATAAGTTGACTATGATCAATTTCGAGGCTTTGATCATAGAACCGTATAGTTTCAGGGACTCGACTTGATTTCTCAAGGAAAACGAGTCATCGATGATCAGTATATCCTTTTGATTCGATTAACGAAAGGCTAAACTTGTCACTGAATCGAATTAAAAAACTTAACAAAGAAATAACGTAGAGTCTAAAAGTTAGCTATCGATGATATAGTAAATGTTTCATATTTGCTATTACATTGTTTCTCGACTTTATACTAAGAAAAAATTATCTAGGTGGAGACACTATGTCAGATAATAGGCAAAAATATTGTCGCAACTTAATCGTGAAGTTCGTAGGAAATGTTTGAAAGAATTGTAACGAATCTCTACACGAAATCCATATAATCGAACGGTATACCTGATACGATGTCTACGTTGACTACAGTAGAAATATTGGCGACAAATCGTTGGACCGTGGTTCATCTTGAATACATGTTACGCCAATGATGTCGATGACCGTTCGTTTCCACGTAGTTGAAATGGATTTCCCTCTTCTCTCAATCGTTTCTACTAGTTTACCTCTTTTTTCAAAAATATTCTACCAATAATCCATACGCACAACAAAATACCTGTTTTTTCCTGATAAATTTTCACCTGTTTTCTTAATTTTAACAACGTTTGATAAAATCGTGTGCGAAATTCATAGTTATTCAAGGTTCCAACGCTGTGCGTTTAACGAGACAAGAACAATCGAATTTCAAAACTGTGCCTTTCCGGGGCCTCGCTTTCGAGAAACGATTTTACGGCTTTGTTTGTCTCCGGTCTATTGTTTCAGTCGTAAGATGGGTTGTTGGCCTGTTTTTGCATTCATGCAAAACGTCGTGCTTGTTCTTTTGTTTCTCTATCGTAACCGTACCGCGTTTTTCATATTTCAAAAAATGCAACCGCTTTGTGAAATTTTTGAATCAAACTTCTCAAATGTTTAATCAATGATTTATCAATTTCAATCGTGCTATGCCACTTGCGAGTTATTATTCAAAACCACGTATTATAACGAAGGATTAGGTTAAATGTATTCAGCCCGTGAGAATTCCGAAGTATTCCTTAAACATTTCCAACTTTCCTTTGCAAACCGATGGTGTTTGATATAATCGATCGATATCACGCTTGAAATGTACCGCACTGCAGTTATTTTTCTGCGTGATGATCAATTAATGTGCTGTGCTGACTCTCGATCATTCATTTCTTTTCGGAGAAATGATCAGAGTCTTCGGCCCACTGATCTATCACAGAGAACACTATCGTAATGAGTTTAAACTACTTTTATTCGATCATGTTTCCCAGATGAAAGGATAATGAAAACTTCTTAAAAAGCGTAATAAATTTTTTCCACTATAGAATTTTTACTAGACGAGCATGCGGAAACTTTACTCGGGCATGTGGCTTCGCGGTACGACGATCGATTCTACAGTTAAAGCAACCTGCGCTCACTAAGATCTACCAACAACTAATACGACGCTTCAGGCACAATCCTTGAAAGATAGTCATCGTTTTTTCTCGATATTTTTCGTATCTCTTAATTCTTTCGTGAATTCAAATTTGCACAAAAATCATTCCAAGCCATTATTAATTCGTGCTTATAACATCATACGATATTATAGATAACATAATTTTCTCGCCTTTGTCAATTATTCGTAATCAGCCTGTTCCTTGGGAAGTCGCAAAAAAGTATATTCTCACAGTAGCACTTCCTAATGTTTAACGTGTCTGTTAAAATGCAATCAGTCGATAGTGTTTCAGGTACATACATATATGCAGGTAGTATTCTAAGCAGCTTGTTTCCTTGTGTGAACTATCGATCAGTAACCCGGTAAAACGCCGCAAAAGAAGTAACGCAACACTGACAAACAATATCGTCGTTGCTTTTAACTAGTCTAGACTCTTTTCGAAAAAGGTATGTATTGAAGATGGAAAAATAACAACACTTCGTGACAGCGTACAAAATCGATGCACGGAATAGCAGAGGAGTAACGGAATTTAATATACTGTCGTTGCCTTTGGCAGACTCGAGAACGAATAATCGCGTTACCACGAACAAATCTTGAAAGATTCCACGATCGTTTGTGCTTCCAACAACTTGCTATACTGAATACACCATTGCCGGTGAACCGTACGTATGTACGTGGAATCCCTCCGAAGCCGATGTATAACTGTACCCGGTTAAAGTCACGTGACGAACAAGGTAGATGAACGCACGTGTATGCTTACGCTTACGTGCTTGATCATTCGTCAGAACGTTCGAAATTACAATCAACCATCATCGATCGCTTATGATATTTGTCTTTGCTATTTAATAAATCTTCCATCTATCCCTCATTACAATTATGAGAGACTACTAACGACTGGTATACCGGTAACCTTCTTTGCTCCATTCCTAATCAACACATCTTCTTCCAACACCTCTGTGTTTTAAAAAATTTGTAAAAATTCAAAATTTTATCAAAAGCAAAATGCAAATTAGGGATAGATAGTAAAAAAAAGGAATCACTTATTGTTATGAGTTATACCGATTGTGTTTCACCGATCGTTAAATTTATTAACAGTTTAAAAGAAAGCTTTGGCTGTAATGCTTGAAGTTATGATTATGTCCTACTTTGTTTTAAGTCTCTGTCTTTTCCTTCCTATTTCTTGTTTTAATAATAATTTGTTCTAACAATAACGCGGCACGTAGATGTAACTATGCTAACTATAACAGGTTAGTGGGACTAAGAAACACATGTTTGCGTATTATGCACTGACTACATCAATGTACTAGTGTTCTACATATTTCGTTTATAACGTAACAAATTTTTATTCATGACCAACAGAGTGATAAAAAATGATTCAATGGAGATAATGAATGGTTATTTGAAAAATTAACGTACTTTAAACACCACGAATTTACGAATGTAAATGTCGATCCACCCATACGATGATTCAGATTGAAACGAATTAGAATGCAATATCTATTTTAATCATGTTATAATTGGCATGGAAAATTTTAATTGATATTTGTTCCTTGATCATGCAGAAGATAGTACAGCAAAAGCTACACACGAGGTGACTTTCGTCTCGGTTTCGTCTCGTTTTTCACCGCAAAAAATTTCACATGAAACACGCCACATATATGTGTTGTATATAGATAAGACACGTAGAAATGATTGTGAATACCACATGTAATACGGGTGATCAGTAGTTACTAGTAGACTGTTCTTTTGTTTCAATTGCCTTTACGAAAGTTCATCCATTCGTCTACGCATATATTTTTGTTAGTTATTTGAAACCATTCGTTATATATTGTTGAACCTTAATGTTAATATGTTTGAACTTTATACAGCCATTTCAATAATATAATCCATAAAAAATTCTATCAGCATTTCATGATTATATTTTCTTCGTATTTAATAAAACCTAAAGATAATTATGCCATCTGCCAAAGAAATCCTCTAGTTGTTAACATCTTGAAAAAATAAGTAACGATAAAATACAAAATCTTCCTGCTGGAAAAACATTGCACAATTAACATACGCAACTTAAGCTTCGGTCGGTACTTCGTATTCATTATATCGACACATGTACAAGATACATACATGGCTACATTCGACATAGTAAATCAATGATAATGCGTAGGAAGGCGAATTGAAGTTATGCATTCTAACTACTATCAGTATCACCAGCAGTAAAAAAAGAAAGTGAGGTAAGAAAAAAATAAAAAAATAAAAAGGGAGAAAGTAAACGAATACAGATGACGGGTTTGAGGGTATTTTACCCCATGTTGATTTCGAATTATTTATCTAATCCTTAATTTTATAGCCACGAAAAGCAGTGCGCTCAAACAGTTCAGCTTGTCGAATTTTCATAGTTACTTAATATCAAATCCAAACCATACCTATCCATATTTCCAACTTTCTCTCGATATTCTGACATTTATTGCATCATAAATGTAACAAGTGGAAAGGTTCGTTTTCTCATTAAACCTTTCAATAATTTTATCTCTAAATGATCTCAAAAAAACTTTTCAAACTTCTCAGAGAAAGTTCACGTAACGAAAGACACAGACCAAGGATAAGAGAAACCGGTTACTCATACACTTGTTAGCCACGTCTAAGAATACGATGAATCTTTCTGATTTCTACAATGGATATTACAAGAAGACTAACTAACTTTATATTTATTGAATGTTTCCAATGACATTAAAAAATTTCATATCCTAATTTTTTACTACGATTGCTACAGAGAAACGAAAATTTTTGTCTATTTTTGTTAATAAGAAAAATTCGGTAAAGCACATTCGATATCAACTTTGTCATACTCGTACAAAGACTCGCATGGAAAATAATCGACAGAAAAAAATGTTGTCGGTGTACATACACATCAATATGATATTTTGCTAAATATATATCTATTCGCAAATAAATATATAAAATTTTTGCTATATAACTGGTAATAATTAATAGTCATACCATGTCTGATCTATTTTGCTTCTAAATAAAATGAGTCTAATATACTAAATGTTAAATAACTTTAGCGAAATCGTTTGATCAGTTATAAAAATTAAAAAAAAATAATACAATTATTGCACCGATATACCGTTAAGAGGGCTACACCAGGCAGTACCGTTGACCTGAAGCTTCGTGTTCCCGTACTACCACTGACCCAAAAACAACGTTCATTGTTCAAGAATCGAAGTAATTATACGTTATACTATGCATTAGCATACAAGAATATATGCATACTTCACCGAATGCACTGAAAACTTTGAATATTTTCGTCTAAATTCTTCGTACACTTATATTTCGAATAAATCTTAAAAAGTGTAAATATTCATCTAGGAATGAATAAAATCTGATCCATATACAAATATAAGATTGTACATTCATATTGTGATTTATCGTAAACGAAAGAAGTATCGTTTAGAGTAAATATACTAACACGTGGAACTTAAGGGAAAAGATAAGTGAGTCAGCTAAGCTCCAGAAATTGTTCGTCACTTTAATCTTCCGCGATTCTTGAAGAGTATTGCTATTTTAATTGACAAAATTACTAAATCTGCAAGAAACGCACTTCACTGAGAGGGAAACCATGTCATAAACACGTTAAGTTCATTGGGATGACGAGCAAAACTCTGATCCGCCTTCTCGTTCAATTCCATACGTGTGTACCAACCATCGAATTACAGGAGAAAGTAACCAGACTAAATTACAATGGTTCCGTAGACGTTAAGAGTGCGGGTCGAATGTGCATCTATGTATATCGGATTAGATCCATTTATCTGTTTAATAATTGTCAGACTTAAATCAACGAAATTGATACTAACTTTATAGGTAAAAGATTTAAATGGAAGTAATGAAAATTCGAACTATTACGAACAATGAAGTTTTCTCACGTCTAAAAGATACTCACAAGAAAACTCTTTTGACTTTTTCTCAAAAAATCGTGCTCGACAACGTTAAACTGTGGATTGTGCAACAGGTTACGCGGTTCATCGACAGTGAAACAATCTGTGAGCAATCGAGATCATTGACCTTTATAAAGTCGACTGAATAGCATGCAATATCCAGTAATATTTTCTCGGAGGGTACCAATCATAAGCAATTCAAATTTTACAATTTCTCTATACTTTTGCGTCCCCAATCTCTAATAACGAAGAAGAATTAAAATTTAAAAGGCTACACTACTTGTAAGATCATATGCATGGAGAAAATTGATTAAGTAATATACATAATAGAAAATAAAATCTATTTGTTACGCGCTTATCGTACCGCGTTTCATCAAGTGCATATATTCGTGACGAAACTACAAAGCGTGTGGATTCTTATATAGTGCGCGCAACAACGAGCAATTATTGCAACTTTCATCGTTAATCATTCTTAACATGTATCCTTCTAAGTCTTGAAATTACCCAATCATAAAAGAAAGAACTTATTCATTGATTAAATCTCAAAGTTTAGGAGTACTTCATTACAAGTATCTGCAGCATCATACACCATTCATTGATTTGGCGCCTTCGTTACTGTTAAAATCAACACGCTATGTATTACTATAAGTTCGTAAAGTAGACAAAAGCATGAACTTTTCATCCACGTACTTTAATGACGTATCATTGTAAACTTTGTAAATATCGTAATAAACATCATATAGTTTAAAATCTAAAATACTATTTAATAGCGATTCACTACACATCTATCAATTAAATAGAGTTAATACCTTTTAAGTAAAATTGATTGATAGTGATTAATAACACAAGAATATCGATCTTAAAAATCTATACAGAAATAATTTCTTAAATTACTGTCCTAACACCCTGTCCATGAGGTGTATCAACAGTTTGCATAAGAAGTATCTAAAGCACAAGTACTGTCAAGCATGGATGGGCAACGACCAACAACTAACTCGTTAAGCCGATTCTCGTTTCCGGTAAGTGTGGTAATAGGATTGAACAAACGAGGATCAAAAATACGGTACGTGACTTTAGTAAGCATCTACAACTTTTCTAATATTGCTAACAATATTCTACGAGTTATTAAGAAAACGAAGGTTTTGTAACTTTACATTTTATTTGTAATTGTACGTAATTGTATACTTTAAACTTTCATCTATCAAAAGTCCTCTTAAATCTTGGCGAATTCCTATTGAGGAAGCAAAATTGTAACAAGTAAAAGTGAAAAGTAGCAAAACTCACCGTCTGGAAGCAATACGTTGCGGACTTGTCGCCGTGCTGGAAGGTGGACTAGTAGAAACACCGCCGAAAGAGCTGGAGCACGTCGTGGTTCCTGAAGCGGTTGTATCACTGCCCGTAGTTGACGATAAAACGCTACTTTGTCTAGAAGCAATTTCACGGCTTCTTGTTCCTTGTGATCGACTTCCTCTAAATTGTCTTCCACCTCTTCGCGATGGCACTACGTTTGAACTATTTGTGTTTCTGACAGGAGCGCTGGATGGTCTCAAAAGGGTACCGGAAGTGCCGTTCGTTTGGGCAGCTAATATCTCTGGAGCGATTAGAGCAATATCTGGTAAAGAATTTGGTGCAGATACAATAGCTCCGCGGCAATTATTTGAATCGATGTTTCGTTGCCGCTCGGTTTCTTCCGGTAATCTCAAGTGGCGCAAACGTCTCATCGATGCTCGTACCCAAGAGTTAACGAGCGTAGGGTTGTCGCGTGTTTCGCGATCGATGGCTTCGTTGCTCGCGTTACAACGTACAGTTTCATCCTGATCATTTCCGTTACAATTAGACAACGGGTCGGAAGTTAACCATCGCGAACCACCGACCACTAGGGACTTTACTGTCCCAGAGACAGACATCGCGGCACTGCAACCCGCCTCAGTAGCACGATGCTCGCGGCCGCGCCTGCGCTTTGCATTTTCACTGGTGGGAGGTACACTCCCTCCATCGGTGTTCTCCTGAACCGCATCAACTACACCAGGTGCTAACGACTCCGTAACCCGCGGACATTCTACTTCCTCTAACCACGACCAATCTACTTCCGAACATTCTGAATATCCGTCCTCTTGATCCATTCCATTTGTTTCCAATCCTCCCACCGTTGAACAACTGTAAACAATTATCATTCTCTAATGTACCCTCTTTCTTTTTTTATTTTATAATTACGCATTAAGTTAAAGAAAAATATAGATCATACATATATAATGTATTTACCCTTGTTTTGTGCGTTATAACAGAAAAATGACCTAAACATCTTACGAACGATGGAAAATTATATCTCAAAAAAAGTACGTGTGAAACATGTTTGTCATATGACAAAAATTTCAAACCAAATGTTTAAATATGGCCATACATGCCACTTTAGAGATCTACTCAGTATCGACTTAAATCTACGCCTCGCGCAAAACCCAAGGCAATACTTCTAGGTAGTCACTGTTGTCGTGCAACGGATGTTCTTCGAAGATTCGAAGCAAAACCGTGTACACATAAGAATTTTCACTACTTCTCATAATCCACGTGGATGCAACAACCGCCTATCTATATTAACCATTTCAATCTAATTCGACGAATTGAAAATGTTATATTTTCCTATGAAATCGATGAAAATTATTAACGTTATAACATCTCATTTTTTGAAAATCAAAAAGAACATACTTTATTTATGTTGTAAAAAATCAACAAGGCTATGGAAAGGACCTCTGATCCTTCACCTTCGTTTTTATTCACAGAAATGCCAGACAATTCATGAGACTATAAATCGAATGTATATCAGGTTTATTTTTATTTATTTTATCAAATAGAAATTGGCAACCATCAATTTGTGATAAACATTACGCACAATTAATGGATTAAAATCTTTAATTAAAGACATCAATGTTAATGAACAATTGAAAACTAACATATGGTTATATAACATTAACTAAATGATATCAAATTTTATAAAACATCTTGTCAATGAACAGCATTTTTTAAATATTTGATATGAAAAGTCTTAAATTATAATCATGAAACATTTTTAATTCCAAACTCTATAACAAAACATGACTTTAAAAACTTAGTCCAATAATGACTCACAATCAGTATGTGCATTGAAATCAATAGCTAATTAGAATAATTGAATACTTGTTGACAATAAACTGATGACAATCATTTGATCACTTACTAGTTCAATATAAACATATCGTAGTTTTTATATATAATTCCGTACAAATACATTAGAAGTACAGAAATTACTTATTGCTAAGTTTGTAACTAATATCAATATTAATAAAGATGTAACATTTTTTAGAGTTAACAGTTGAAAATTTATATCAGCAGTCCTAAAAGCAACTAAAAATAATGTCGTACCTTGAAATAAAGCTAGAGTGCCGATGAATACCATTGGAAGTTGATGGCGCACAATTATAGCCCCTCAAACTAGTTGATCTGTTGAATCGAGAAAATGTATCCTGTTTCACAGTCTTGAGCGTAGTTCCTTCTGTCCAGGATTTGCGATGCATATGTTGAAATGATCCTCTTTTAGCTGTTCGTACAAATGTTTGCTCTTCGGAACGTTTTTTAATCATATTGATGTTGCCAACTTCAAGTTTATAATCAAGAGAACCAGATCTAGTCGTCCTCGAAGTACTTTCGGAAGGTTTGCCAGAACATAATTCGAAAGTTGAATTATTTAAATCTGTATCAGTTTCCCAGCAGTTTAAAGTTTGCGATGAGCTACCACCATGGTAATTTAACAGATTTTCATTTTTTGTGGCACAACTGTTTAGTAAGATTAGCCCATGAGAGTTTATAACTTGGTTATAACGATTACACTTTGCTTCAGTTTGATCTTCGCTGTCATCGTGTTCTGTGAGAAAATTAAAAGCATTGTTGATTTCCTGTGTCTCGAAAGTCTCGTCCTCAAGTTTTTCGCTGTGATAATGTGCGTCTTTGTGATTCGATATACTCCCATAATCAACCGTGTCTTGATGTTCCTCATTAATGTCGGAACAGGTCTTTCTTATAACTGGTTCTAAGTTCCTGGTAATATCACGAACTCTTTTTATCGTATCAGACGAAACGACGTCGATTCTTTTACGAATCGGCACTACTTGATCATGACCTAAAGTGACTAATACATCACCGTTATCGCTTATGTATTGTATTTGTTCTTGTTTTCTAGTTAACGACAACGTTTGTTCCAATTTTGGCGGACATACATCGAGAAGATGTTCTTGTTCATCAGATGATGATTCTTGAATCGATACCCGTGGCACACAATTATCATTTCCCAGATCGATCAAATCACCATCTTCACTCGAACTCATTTTGCGATGGTTCACTACTGTAACGAGAAAATAAATACATATCTCAAACAATGTGACAATTGTGCGTATTACTTTAAATGTTAAAATTTCTATGATCGGACTAGATTCGTCCCACGAACAAAGTGGGCCGATGCCTTTTCTTTTCAACTGTCTGAACCTGTCCTACATTCACTTGACCTGGGAACCAAATATCTTCTTCTCATATTCCAATGCAATGCAAACCGATTTCAATACCGCTGTTCCACGTAGAAAATCATTATATGAATGATCCGTTAATTCCTTATGTAGACAAACTCATTTCGTATAACTTATCGTTTTAATAGTAAATGGAATTATTCAACGAAAAGTGTGTACTGCTGATATATTTTAACAATCACTGGTCGAGATCGATATTTAATTCTACTGTATAAATCAATACATACAAATACACAACCATAGAGAAAAACAAACTACAGCTCTAACAGCGGTGTTATATCATTAGAAATCATTAACAATGCGATGCTAAACACAATTTGCAAACTTCGATTACTTATAAACCAGACCTACTATTTTATGACACTAATCTAATTCCAATAGAAACAAATTTGTTCAGTTGTATTATTATTTAGTAACATTTCCATGCATCTAAATCGATTTAATCGTTTTATCAATTATCGTTCATGGACATTCATTGTTGATCGATAAGAGATCAGATTGTTATCTACTAAATATAAAAGATTGTTTGTTTGATTATTTCGATTAAATGTATCAATGGATGTATTTATTGAATTCTGAATACTATTGCATTACAAAAAAGTATCGTATTGAATAAAGTATAAAAATAAAAAATACAATCGAAATATTTAGAAAAGAAAAGAAAATAAGAACTCATGGAATGTTACATATAAGAATCTTAAAGAATCTTAAGGATTGAAGAAATGTTTAGTTTACAGCCTATATTATACCAAAATTAATAGAAAATATGATTCATTTGCTTCAAAACACAGGATAGGAAGAATACAAAAACGTTTCTGTATTGTGTTACCCTTTCAAATGTATGCGGGATATCTATCCCGAAATTTGTAAAATAGGTATTAATAGTAGGAAGATAAAATCTTAAGAGTTATGTACAATTCAATGGCTGTAATAATATTTATAGTTCAATGATGGATGAGTAATTAATAAATTGAAAAGAAAAATAAACAAATTTTCGTTGGAAAACCATCGTTCTAAAAGTTGTGACTGGAATCGAACGACTGTCACGGTCGATACTTTAAGACGAGCCCGTTGCCAGCACACTTGTCCAGGTAACAGGTAACCAGTAACCGGACCTTCTCAGCTGGCTACGACTCTACATAACTCATTCGTGAATCACGAATCAGGACAGTACCTTGAGAATATTTCTACAGGATTCAAAACTAATCGACATCCTAGAAAAGAGCAGTATTACCAAATAACTTCCTTCACTTCCCTTATTCGATATAAACAGACGAAATTATTTTTCTATAAGAAAATCCAACTTTATCATTAAATATTAGTATGGACTTCTGTGCTAATTATTAATATATATTTCTCGTTTATAATTTGATAAATTCTTCCTTCAAATATTTCATATAATATTATATGAAATAATAAATACTTATGAGAATAAATTGAGACAATATATATAAAAATAATAAAAATCCATTAATTAAACTTTAAACATTGTTTGTACTTCCTTCCGTGTATTTATTCGAACTATTTTATGATAGTCTGTAACATTTCATATTTAATCAATGATCAAAATCAATAAATATTTATCAAATATTCTGCGCATACTTTTTCGTAAATGAATGTAAGATCGAAACTTTACAAAGTAAAATATTGTATATTTTTTATACCTTCGTCGTAAATTTTCAAAAAGAACATCCAAAACCTGAGATCATAGGATTTCCAATAGGGTTGCTTGCAAAAGATATAACGTTGCAAACATTGGTAAATAATTTTATTTCTCCATGTAAATATTTTTCATTGAAAGTAAAATTATAAATCTTCGATTCATATTTGACCTGATCTTTGTTAAACACAAATACATCTCTTTTGTCTATATCATTTAATAATATATGAGTTCATAATACTTCAAACAACTGGAAGCTGTTCTTTAAAATGGAGCAACTCTCTAGAATTCGTAAATCGATCAAGAATGAAGATAACGCCATCTAAAAATATTACAAGTTTATTTAACCCAAAGCGCGCCAATTAGAACAAAAAGCTTCAATTCTACTCTACTACATAGTTTTTTTTAGCACTTACAATTTTATAAGCACAAATTCAACATTGCAAAATGCAAAATAACCGTTATTATTTCAAAATCACATTCGCATACTTTTTAGTTATTTAGATTCATCTTGAAGTAATAGTATATCCAATTACACTGTTCACCATAGTTTTATAATTTCATCTTTTTCTTAATTACAATGTAATTAATTTATTCTTCGAATTACAAATCCACTTTTATTAAAGTTCTTTTTGAAAATCTCTTTTTTTTATTTCTATTGAAGAGATCTATGAGCACTCATGTCACTAAATTACGCGATTCTCTTTGAATCAGATCAAGATCCGTTTTAAATTTACTCGCTCCGTTATTCTTGGTATACTCGTTACGTCGTTCCTCGAAAAATCAAACAGGGTACTGACGTGATTTTAATAGCACAGTTGCAACAGACTCAACAATCACTGTTGATTTCTACAATTTTAAAAAATATCTATTAATCACTTCTCTTCTTTTTGTGCTTTAGCATTTTAAACAAAATATTCACTACAATACGTCACATACATGATACGAAACAGATACTTTACGTTATTCGCGTAAGGCACGCACTGAAGAAAGAACGAACGTCGGCAAGGAGAGTCCAATGCGTGCATTCACCAATTCACTGCCGATCTTCGGCATGCTAGTGTGTGTGTGTGTATGTGCTTGCTTGCTTACCCATCGAAAAGAGAGTATGCAGACTCAATGGTAGAGAGAAAGGGAAGCAAGAGGAAAGAGGCAACAGAGAAAGAGTGAAAAAGAGTAGGCGACGCAAAGAGAACAAGTACAGGCGAAAGCGGCAGACGAATTATAAAATTTGGCGACTGATGACCCTTATTTATTTTAAATACGTAAAATATTTTAAACTTCGCATTGTATTTATTATAATTATTTTTACAATACTCATTTATTAATAGTTTTTAATTCATTTTTATTTACGCTTTTAATTAAAAAAGAAGTCTATGTATACAAATAAGCACATTCTGAAAGATATGTTTTTTTACAATGATTTTTAAATTAGTCCCTGCAATTTTCTTTCCAACAATTCTGAATTTAGATGATGCTTACAAAGAAATTGACCTTCTAGAAAAAGAACTGGAATTTCATATTTATAAAGTTTCAAATATCGTTCGTTTCCAGACGCTGTAATATCAACTTCTTGCAATTGATAACGGCCAGAAAAACGCAATCGTAATTCGCTTTTTAAAACATCACAAAGCGGACAAGGACTTTTTGTGTATAATGTTAATATTGGTGGGGAAGACACTGTATGACACCTATAGAATGAAAAAAATTTGTATCTTTCAAAAATAATTTTTATTTTCTGTTATATTATTTATTTACCTTAACAATGTAGTATAAAAAATGTATATTTATAAAAATATTTTTTATTATTGAGTAACATATATAGATCAATTAAAATGTATATAAAAAATTGTAAAATACAAAATTATAAATGTATTATATAAAACAATTAAATATATAAAACCTCTTCTATTATACACTTACAATTTTTCAAGTAGAATTGATGAAGCACCACCGCCTCCATTGCAAATAGATGCAATACCCTTTTCCCCAGCTTTTAAAGCATGTACCAAATGTACTACAATACGAGCACCGGACATACTAAAATTTTAATTGTATGCAACTTAAATTTCAGTACATTTAACTTATAAAAACTTAATATAAGTTTCTAAAAACGGATACTTACCCAATCGGATGACCAAGAGACACAGCACCACCATGAATATTTACTTTATTAGAATCAAGATCAAGTAGTTTTTGATTTGCAACTACAACTACGCTAAAAGCTTCATTAATTTCCCAAAGAGCAATATCATTCTTATTGATATCAGCATTTTCTAGTAACTATAAAGTAATACATAACACATCATTTTTTAAAAATATGATACATATCATTACAACATAATAATATATATCATTAATGTTTAAATAAACTGCCTATTGTGTGTATAATACAAGAAATTTACTTTGGAAATACTAAAAGATGGTGCAATAGGAAAATCAATGGGATCAGTTGCAGCATCTTGAAATGCAATAATTCGTGCTAAAGGTTTTAAATTCATTTTTTCTGCAACAGTAGTAGTTGTTAATATTAATGCAGCAGCCCCATCATTTAAAGTTGATGCATTTCCTGCAGTTACAGTACCATTCTCTTTCTATGATAAATAAATTCAAATTATTGCTTAAAATTTAAATCACAAATAATTTAATATTATACCTGAAAGACTGTATTTAGTTTATCAAATTTAGTAAACTCGACTTTCTTATATTCTTCATCCTCATTAAATATTATATCACTGCCTTTTTTTCGAGGCACAGTAACAGAAACAAGTTCATCTTGGAATGCTTTATTTGCATATGCTGCTGCACTGCGTTTGTAACTATTAATAGCATATTGATCTTGCTCATGGCGAGTAATATTTAATTTTTTAGCAGTATTTTCTGCACAATTTCCCATATGAAATTTATTATAAACATCAGTTAAGCCATCAAATACAATACCATCCTATTAAATGAATAAACATGAAAATTAATAAATTACAATATGATTAAAGAAAGCATAAAAGAAATATTCATTTTTCAATTAGAAAGGATATTATTATACCTCAAGTTTTGTACCACCATATTTAACTCCCCCTCGTGGAAGATAAAATGGTACATTAGACATTGACTCCATACCACCAGCAAGAGCAATCTCTTGATGCCCACATTGTAATGATTGAAAAGCAAGAATAATACTTTTCATACCACTAGCACAAACTTTGTTAACTGTTGTACATATTGTTGATGTAGGAAAACCTAATTTAAAAATTTGTTATATAACTTGATATATAACATTAAAAGAATAAAATAATGTTGCAAAAAAACCTGCAAATAGCGTAGCTTGTCTTGCTGGTGCTTGACCCACAAAAGCTTGACAAACATTTCCCATATACACTTCGGTAATTTTATCTTTAGAAATGCCAGCACGTTCAATTGCTGCCTATTGCAATTATTAATTGTTCTTTACATATATTATTACTATGTATTATTAATTTAGTAAAAATAAAAGTAATATTTACTTGTATAGCTATAGCACCAAGTTTTGGTGCAGATAGGCTTGATAATGCTCCAAGAAATGATCCCATAGGTGTTCTAGTTGCACTAACTATAACGACATCATTTAATTTTACTTTAGAACTATATAATCGTAAGTTGATCAGAGAAATCTAAAAAAAAAAAAAAACTTCCAAACAAAGAACTTTTATAAAATAAATTTTCACTAATTGTAAAATTTAAATTACATATTAAAAAATTTAATTAAAAATAACAGATTATAGAGTATGTAATATTATAATAAAATAACATAATATTTAAATTAATTATTTAAAAATTACTTTATCAAAACTTTAGCTATTTTATATATAATTTTATTATTATAAATAATTCATTTGATAAGACTTACTTTGTTTATATTTTTAAATATCAACATCTTCATGTTCTCTGCAAGAGTATAACAACTTGTTACAACCGTTATATACGAAAATTAGTGTATACAAATCAATTATTTGGTTCTGAAAATATTTAATCTTATGTTCCAACTCACCACAATATGAAAGTCAATAATTTCTGACTAAATTAAATATAACGTTTTTTTGTATTTCATTAAATAACAATGGCTATATAATTTATATATATATTTTAAGTTCCATTCAAATTATAGTATTTTCATATATATTAATAATAGTATTAATTTGTATTGTGTTTAATTTAATGAAAATCTGAACAAGACACAAACATCTTGACAAAGAGTCTTTACTAAAGACGGTCCTGAAATATCGCGCACGCGTGGAGATGTAATTTTTTAATTATATTTTCCTACTTCGTTATAAGTGCATGCTTGTGTTGTGCTATGTAAATGATTGTTATCACAAGTCAATATTTTTCAATAATTAGTAAAAAAACATCCAACGTAAAATACGACAATTATTTTATTCTAAATCAAACATCATAAATTAAACATACAATTTTATTATAATTTGATTATTTCATTCTATGTATGAAATTGGAGTAGATATAAACGAATTTTTAAAATGAATGTTGAAGAAAAGAGACTAAGAACTTTCACAAATTGGCCAGCAAATGCAGCAGTTGATGCTGCTCAAATAGCAAAAGCCGGATTTTATTATAGTGGACATGCTCTGGAAGTACAATGCTTTTTATGTGGAGTAAAAATTTGTAATTGGAATTATGGTGATCAAGCTATAGTTCGTCATCGGTTAGCTGAACCTAATTGTCCTTTTGTCCAAAATCCTTCTAGTACTTGCAATGTCCCTTTGATACCAATATCTATCCTATCCGAATATTCTGGATTGGCATCATCATCAATAGAAGTAGAACAAGACAATAATGTAGTTGAACATCAGTCTGCAAATCTTTCCCAAGCTCGTAAAGATCATTGGATAATGTTATATAGGTTAAAATCTTTTACTAAGTGGCCAATTCCCTCTATTGTATCACCTGAAAGTCTTGCTAAAGCTGGATTCTATTATCTACAATGTAATGATAAAGTAATAATAGACTCAAAGAAATAGAATTTTCATATAATAATTATTCTTATTATTATATCTCACATAATATAATCTCAATTATAGGTACATTGTGCATATTGTGGAGGAATTTTACATCAGTGGACACCTGGTGATGATCCAGATAAGGAGCATAGAAGACATTTTCCTCATTGTAATTTTTATGTTCATCAACATAAATATGGTATATTTGTCTGTAAAAAGTATTTCTTTTTTTTTAGACAAATTATTTCATTTTAATTTCTCTTTAATTAGATAACTTATATTTAACCAATGTGAAATTAATGCCTGGTGCAACATCAAGTCTCTCAGATTTAGGAATACAGCCACATACAATTCCCAAAACACCAGCTTGTAGAACATATGAAAAAAGATTACGTACTTATAATGGTTGGCCAAAAAATATTAAGCAAATTCCGGAAATATTGGCTAATGCAGGATTTTATTATAATGGTATAAATTGTATAAAGATTCAATAATTTTAAATGATATTAAATTGATAGTATTAAAATGTGATAATAGGATTTGGTGATCATGTCAGATGCTTTCATTGCAATGGTGAATTACGAAATTGGAAAATAACAGATGATGCATGGATTGAACATGCAAGATGGTTTCCCACATGTGAGTTTGTGAATCTTGTAAGAGGAAAAGAATTTATCAAACAATGCATTAACAGCAGACCACCTTTGGATCAATCAGTAAGTACTATACAATTATGTTTATGTTACATGTCTTAAAAATTTTTATACATCTTATTTTTATATAGATTCTTGAAGGTTTGACTATAAATGAAAACACAGATATAGCTGAAACATCACCTTCTTCATCTACAATTTTATCATCATCGTCAGAAATTACAGAAGCAACATTGAAAAAATTACTAGAAAGTCCACCAGCCATAGTAATGTTTACATATTTATTTTATTAGCTTTAAACTATGTTTATTATAATTATAAATAATGTTTTTCCCTAGGTAGCTTTAGAAATTGGATTACACATAGGTAGAGTAAAAAGAGCTTTAAAAAAACAAATACAGGAAGTAGGAACACCATATACAAATTCTGAACAACTTATAGAAGATAATCTTTGGGATCAAGATATAGGAGAATTGGCAAGGTTAGTAATAAATAAAATTATTTATTAAATATTCAAATCTCCTTCTTTAGACTTAACTCTCTCGTTAAATAATATAATTAGTGAACAAACAAACAATAGTGTGGAACATTGTAATAATACCGAAAAATATGAATATAAAGATGATGAAGAACATTCAGTTAAAAATGAAAATTCTACAACATCTAATGACAAGAGTAACAGTGTTGATAAGAAACCAAATATCAATTCTAAAGAAATCAGTAAGTAATAAAAATAAATATTATGTTAAAATACGTTAACAATACACTAATATATTAGCAAAAAGATTACAATCATAAAATTACTTTTATTAATTTCATTAATTCATTAAATCTATAATAAATATTATTATATTTAATTTAACGAAAATATTATTAATTTTTTTAGCATTTTTAGAAGAAGAAAATAGAAAATTAAAAGAAGTTCGTTTATGCAAAATTTGCATGGATCAAGAAGTAGCTATTGTATTTTTACCATGTGGTCACTTAGCAACTTGCGTCTACTGTGCCTCATCTCTTACCTATTGCCCAATGTGCCAACAAGAAATTAAAGCTACTGTTCGTACATTTCTATCATAAATTAAATAGCAAAATATCAATTAGTGAATATATTGTTAAATTTATTTATACAAATTTAATAATTTAATACAGAAGTCTATATGTATATTACAACATATATTCTATTTATAATTTGTTTTTGATAAATTAAAAGTACATATCAAGAAATAGATAAAAAAAATAGGTTGATTAGTAATAACATAGCTTGTACCAAATATAGAAAATTGTGTTATTATTATTAATGATCACAGTATCTCATAAACATATAATATTATAATAATATCAATTTTAAATGTCTAAATAAGTAAAATTTTATAACTCTATAATGTAGCAGGTATTAATTTTAATTACTAAGTAAATATTATTAGGTAATTTCATAATTTTTTTTTTGGCCATGGATATCCATCTTAAACTTATAATCACTATTAATTAAAAATTATAAATATCTATTTTAGCCTTTTAAGATACGTGTGTATCATAGATAATAGTTACTTAGTACAATATCTAATTTATTTTAATCATATTTTTAACTTGTAAAATACCTAAGTATATTTAAGAAATATAATTAAGACAAGAAGTAGAATTAACTATATTAAACTTAAAATATCTAATTTAACTAAATTTAATTTAGTTAACAAAATTAAATTTGAAAAAATACAAGTAAATCACCAAATACATAAATGTACATTATCATTAAATTGATTGCTAATTAAAGTAACATTATTGATTAATATAACAAATACAATTTTCATTCTATCAAAACTGAAGTTTAAATTGTAATAATAAAAGTATATATACTAATACAATATATTATACGTATTATTAGATATAAATAATATATCTTTTGTAATGTTTAAAAAATAATTATGTTACTCAGTAATTGAAACTTAAGATAAGCTATCTTAGATTAGTTGATAATATAAGTAATCCTATCAGTCCCTATATATTAGCAGTTGAAGACTGATATTGTTAAATGTGTATTTATTGAAGGTGAGTACAAATTAAACATATCCTGTATCATGTTATAATAACGTTACAACGCATTATATTTTCAAAATCATTTCATTTGTACTAAATTTTAAAATACTACACGATATTAATGGAAAAAGATATATATGTAATGCTTTAATTCATACAAGCATAATGTAATATCAATATATATATATATATATATATAT